ACGCGTATATATATATAACATTTTTTATTGTGACAAAGACACTATCGATGTGAAACAATATCCGACAATATCCGCAGAACACGATCAAACGCATATAAAGCCAGTCGCAAAACACATCGATGAGCTAGAAATGCGATTGCCACATTGATTATACGAATAGTTCGACTACGGAAGTCTTCTCTTTTTGGAAAATTGTCCGATTTTTCACTCGTCTCGTTAATTGAATATCGGTCAAATGCAGTTGTGAAAATTTTGCCGCGAGCTTTGTGACAGGATAATTGATTTTACCATTTTGTCGTAATTTTATACAAAGTGCAAATCAATTGTTGATCAAAACTGACCGTTTTTCGCAAACAGTTTGAGCTATTGAATTGCAGGTGACACGAACTACGCTTTTATTGTAATTGCGGCTTGTTCGCGTGCTCTTTTGATCTTGCAAATTCAATGGCCGCGGTCCGCATGATAACAAATGTGTTTTTTTGTTCGAAAACGACATCCAAGGTACATCGCTTATTTTTAAATTATAATATAAAGTGTAAGTTGCCGCATTTTATTTAGATTTTATTTTTATTTCGCGATGTAAGATGTCGAAAAATATTAGTTCTGCTAACTGTGTAATGTATTTAAACAACAAATTTTGCTACGATTATTATTATGTGTCTTTCTCGCGCATAATCGCAGGCGGCCATTGATACCGATACTTAAACGCGTGTAACGCACGTAACTGTGTGGTTCATATACGCAAGTGCTTATTTTATATTATAATATTATACGCGCGATATTCAACGATGTGCTCGTTACGTATACAAGCCGTAATTGCTATTCAGGTTCTTCGATACACGAGAGTTTGTCGTTTGGAATTGGTCCAAAGTTATTATCCAGATCGGTAAATTCTATACTATTCGAATGCTCCAACTGCTATATGCTTAGATACCGACTATAATTTATACTGTAATTTATATTGCGATGAAGAGTAGCTTCCTGTTTGCGCACTATTTTTCTTTCTTTCTTCAACGAATTTTAGTTGGTCATCATTTAACGTGGAGAAATCAAGCGCGCGTTGCATACCCACCTTAAACGTAATAATATTTTGACAAAAAATGTTTTAAAACCACGCACTCTCCGAACTATTATTTATTTACAACACCCTACTTGCCGCTGGAAGTTGAAATCTACGGAAAGACGAAATTTGATAAACGAGAGAGCCAAGAGGTCAAATCAAATTTCATTTCGCTGCGGCATTTCACATCGTTGACGCAAAGTCATAACGAGAGGAAACCTCGACCATTGCCACCGAGAATAAATTTTATTTCACCGGTCATATCCACTCGGAGATAAACTTATTTTACGAGCGGAACAAATAGAAAAATTCGTCGCAAAAGTATGTTGTATGATGTAGGCGAATTCGCGATCGGAAGTTCGTCGCATATCACCAAAACGCGAAACATTGTTAATTACAGTCGAGATGTATAAATGACTTTCAATAAATATAAAAATAATATATAAAATAAATTAGCTGAACTTACAACAATATACAGTTTCGTCATTATATTACTTTATTCTTAAATCGCAGATTTCTATTTATCTAAAATCAAAAAAATTTATTTCTCGGAAATTGCGAGAGTACCGGGAGTGCGTGCGAGAGAATGGTAATGTTACAATTCGGCGTGCAAACAGAACTGACTTCTCCTACAGTAGCTGTCAAGCGTAGTTTACCGGCGAATGTCAGTTTCTGAGATAAACAAAAGAGGAATAACGCGTTCGGGCAGTTGATGCATATGTCACGTGCATCGACAATATTCCTTCTCGCTATGAAAATGTCGCCGCGAATACTGTCACGAGTTCGCATATAAAACAAGCGTTCTATTGAGCGCTGTGTTTGTTTATCTTAAAAAATATATAGAGCACCAAAAAATATTTTTATCTATTTATAGTATACACTCGAAGAGAACTTTTCCTGATGCAATTATTAAAACGGAATTGTTTTCGGTTTTTGAAAGAGATTAAATTAAAGGACGATTGGAATCGTGCGATTACGTTCGAGTTGAGAGATATTTTCGCTTGATACGTTGACTCTCACGTGGCTAGTCGGGCAATCGAGATCCTGCAGCCGCGAATTCCTCGCGACTGTACCGCTCGGCGGATTAACCATCGGACTAATGCCAATACCCGCATATACCGCTCGAACGCGAGGATAATACCGGATGCGCCGTGTGGCGGGCGGTTGATCGGACGGGCGCAGCCGTAAATAAACGGATAACGATAGCTCTCGTATCTCTGCAGCTCGAGCGTGAGCAGACGTTCTCGATTCCGCGGGTACGTTACGCAGAACCAAGTAGCGGCCGATTGGACGGCGATGTAATTTCGCAGTGAAGGAGAACCGGGCTGTGATGAGAATGATATTGAATCATAAGAGAGAATCATGACGCACGAGTCTCCCAAAGGACGATTTGTCATCATCTCGCGTGTGAGCAGTAAACCAGATTTTATATTTAAAAATAAAATGTAATATTAGAATTCTAATATAAATTTCTCTTGTAACATTGACAACTTCCATAAAAATGAAAGTCTTACTGACCTTTTTCCTTTCTTTTAATTTGCTTTTTTTGTGTATGCCGATTGCATATGCGCGCTCTCGCCTACGCTGCGCATCGTGTATTACGCAAACTATCAAATTAACGTTTCTTTACGTTAGCGTCTAGAACCAATCCAAATGGTACGCCACAGCTCGAAGAGCGTTCAATGATGATTCTTCTTGCACGACCATCAGAGCGTGTCTAACATACACGCTAATCGAAATTGACGATAAGTTGCTCAAATGTTCCGATTATTTCTATCAACGATCATTAATTTTACAATTTTAATTGCGCGCAATTACTGTTAATCTTATTACTTCTAAATAAAATATTACAACGATAAAACATATTTAAATAGCGACTAAAATCAAAATGACGAATAGCTTTTGTTTCTCCAAGATTGATCGTTTCGCCAGGATAAAATTTTCAGCGGATACTCTTCTCCCCTCCAAAAAAAAAAGAAAAATGGCAATTGCGCGGTGTTCTCAATTTTCGGATCTCATTATTGGCTTTATTAACGCCGGTGTATTGGCGATCCGGCAACGTTTTCATATGGCGAAAGCATTAATCGCGCACGGTTATTTCCGGCTGTTTACTTCCACGCCGTGTGGTCAAGGCAAGCAATTACACTGTGCAAAGTTGAGTCCCGGCTGCTCCAATTCATATCGCAAGGTAAGGGCAGCTGTTACGTATAGAATCAGCAATATAAGTACCTACTAGAATCGATGCTTTTCGAGAAACATCAATACTTTTTTTTTTAAATATGAGATTCTGTCGATATAAGTTGAAAAAGTCTCGAAATTTATGACAAAAGTATTGTATTATTGAGATATATTTTTTATTTATAAAAATATATTGAACATTTTGTTTATTATATATTTCGAGCTTACAGTTGTATTTTATTTATATTTATCATATAAATTTGCAGCAACAGAATTTCGCTAATTATTTAATATTATATATGCTTTAGCTCATTGTACAACACATTTATTGCATATTTACGCGTTTATTGCGTCATATTCTCTGTAATACCGCTTAACGTTTATTAACGTTTAATAACGTTTACAGCACGGTTTACTGTTCTATGGTAGCTGATAACCTTGCGCTACGCCCAACTAACTTTTTAGCGGCTAATGAAGCTGTTATCGCACTCCCCGACTACCGCGGATATTTAAATTTGTTGGCTAATTATACACGAAGTTTATTTTTCGACCGGTTAACGCCGGTGATTTTGGTATCGCGAAATGCGTTATTTTCCCATGAGATGTGGTTGATTCAACCAATTTCGAAACGCATATATAATATTTCTTTGCAAAGTAGTTTTAACTGTTTTACGGTGCGATAGTGCACGGTAGATAAATATATACTTAGCAAATTGCATATTACCGCTGACCTAGCAACGCTTAATTTGCTTAATTTGTTATCGACTAAGTAAACAAACAGTTGTCAAACTAATTATTCGCATGCTAAAAATATAAAAATATCAAGCAATATTAAAACATCCTTTCTTCAAATAAAAATATCGTATACAGACTGTGTACATAAAGAATTACATAATGTTTTAAAAAAACTATATCACGGAACGTATGTCTTTTCCAAAATGCATTATTTAGATGCCATAAATATTTATAATAAACGATCTATCATTGTTCGATTCCTTCGAGTTCGGAATATTTAACTTCCTCGTTTCGAAAAGAAGGACAGAGGGAGATGGAGATATCGTCGTACGAGCGAAATTTTCCTCTAAAGACGACCGAGAGACTTACGAGGGTCGTTCTTGTCTGAACGCGATCGTATGGGGGGTTCGCCCGTTATTCGAACGCGTTTGAATGAAATTCCGATCGCCTGCCTGCAGCCTTTGTCCTGGAAGCAGATCCCGCTTCCACGCTGGCTTTCCGGAATTTATCGAAATAATCGGATTCATTCTTCTCTACGAGTATGGCGATCAGCAAGGAAATCGTTACGCTGATCGGTATTTCGGAAAAAAAATACAGCGCGCAATCTCTCTTACGCCAAGTATTTGCGTTGTGGACCAAATGCAGTGTTTATTCGCGCAAAATTTTCCAAATATTGAGCTCTATCGGAAATATACAGAGAGTACTTTTATTTCACCAATTTTTTTATATAAAATAGAGATTAAATTTTAATTGAAAATTTTTCAATGAATATTACAAATATTAATATAATCTGCACAAAGGGAAATATTTATTAGTGCTGAAAATAATGTTACCGCATAATGGATTCATTATCTCGGAAAATCTCGGGGAATTGCAACAACGTTTTGTACATTTTACTGTGAACTCGAATATAAATCTTGCAACGAGAACGTCGTATGAACTCGTATATCGTAATGCAACATCACGTTTTCGCAAACATGCGAGTCACCGGCTCTATTATCGAAGCACATCATCGGCCACTACTTACAGTGCACTTTCAGCTTCCATCGATCCTCGATACCGGCTTCCGGCAGTTTCGGATTCTCGGCACGACATACCAAGAACTTCCCTTCGTCTTCTACTGTCGGCGTGAATTGCAGCAGACTCACGCCATCCTGCAAATACGAATAGCAATTATTGTCTCCGATAGAGTTAATGATCTGGCTGAAGGTTTCCTACAATATGTTCGTGTTTGTAAATATAAACTCGAAACAATCGCACGACAACTTGTTAGTGTAATTTTAAAAATTTCATATGATTACTGATTTTGATATTTGATGCTTTCGCGGTGTGTAATATTAACACACAAAGATGTTTTTTCGGGTTCGAACCGCGTTAGTGTCATTTTTATACCGACGTTTTGTGAACATTACAACTCACTTCATCAGGGTTTAATCAGGCTGCTCTTTAACGCGGTTCAAACCCGAAAAAACATCTTTGTATGTTATTACTGATTTTCCTTAGATTATTATGCACTCAAGAAAATTCGAATCACAGATTGAAAAAAAAAAACATGACTTTTTTTTATATTACTTAAAAAACAAATTTTTTTTTTCGCTAATGTTAGGTGTTGTTATTCTATTATAAAGATCACAATCAGAACAAATCACAACACTTGAAGGTGGAAGATAAACGATTTCATAACATCCCTGCGTTTTTCAATCTTTTTTTTACGCTCACGATGCGAAATTGCGGTCGCGGCGCATTTTTGTTTTATCGTTTCACATAACCAACAGCTCGTGCTGTTTACGAGATTTTAAACACGGGCGCCGCCAAACTGGTCCGGCAGAGCTTTATCGCAACAACGAAAACCGTACATTTTTCAGGCACGAACAATGGACGCATGAAATGTTAAAATAAATATGTGCGTTTTCGTTTCCAAAATTGTGATCGTATTTTCTCCCGCGCGGTCGCGTTTGCGGAACAGCGGAGCCGAAATTACGCGAGTGATAACACCGCTTTATCGTCATTTTCGGAGCGTTTTCACTTGCAAAGTATATGTATTCACATCATCTCGCGAGAGAGAGAGAAAGAGCTGACTGCGTACACATTATACAAAATCTTTCTTTTTACTGTTCAGTTATCTCGTAATCGGATTTATAACAATATTTTCATCGTTTACGCGTACGTAGAGATCTTTCAAAGATTCTCTTTTTTTCAGAGCTCATGAGAAATCGCGATACCGAATTCCTTGACAAGTAGAATACTACCGTAAGACGTGTGATTTTTTTGATGACAAACGATGCAATGCAAATTGCGAAATTGTACTGAATTTTGCGACTAAACGCGAGCGCCGCGTTCCAGGGATTAATTCCGGTCTTGTGGAATTTCCATAACAATCGACGTCGTCGCGCGACGTAAAGCTCGATATAATTCTTTCTTATTTCAAGCGCGAATTTTATTCTCGCCGCGCTTTCATTTGCGATTTTGCCAATGTCCAATTTTTCTGTTCGAGAAAAACCAGTCACGTCATCAAATTAATGACACTTTATCGGTTCCGCTTGCTAGATGAAAATTTTACTCTCATCGCGCAAGAGAAAAAAATACAATTTTCCAGTCCATTTTATTGCCGATATACAAATCTCGATGTTTTAAATCAACTAGTATTCTAGCCCACTAGACTAGATTTAAAATCTTTTGATACAATAAAAAACGAAGATTCGTCTAAGTGTTGCGGAAACATGATGATAAAAACACGAAAAACCTTGGTCTTTAAAATGCCGCATCTTAATTTCAAATACGGAATCGATATGTATGCGCGGAAAACGATGCAACAGTCTAGTCAAGAGAAAAACGAGATATATGTCGCCGTATTCCGAGGAAGCCTTCGAATTCTCCTATCGAAAACCAGCTTTTCCACGGAATTTATGACGCCGAAATTTCAGCATTGCTACTCATGTAGAGAAACAGAGAGAAAGGAGGGGAGGGATTCGTGAACGGAAAATATGCGCGTGCATTTGTACGTGTACAGTGTGTAAATCCATTCTCCGTCACGTCACAACACACATCAAGTTCCACCCACTGGGGGTATTTTTCGTTTTCGTGTGTTCTTGTCGTTTTCTTTTTCTTTCGCTCTTACGCTCCCGCATTTTCCACGTCAAAGTCTCTCTTTCTGTTTCGCGCGAAAAACAATAGCGAAAGAACGAACGCGACTCGAATAAAAAAGCGAGACTTTGGCGGCTCTGAACAAAATTAAAATCAAATCCCCGACAGGTACGATGGCGGCTGCTGACTGACTGACTGACTGGCTGGCTGGCTGGTTGGTCTCGATTATATTTATGTGTATGTGTGTGTGGTGTGCCGGTCGTGTTTCGTAAAATCTTGACCCGAGAATTCGCCGGCGAAAATTCCGACGATGTCTTAGTCGGCGGTTTGGAAAATTCAGGTAGTCAGATATTATTCGGCTTTATATTCTACATATTTTTCATAAATAAGTTCCTTTTTCTCTCTTAGTCTCATAGCTTTGCGCTCTCTCAGAGATTTTAGCATCAAAGTGGTAAGGCGTAATCTCGCACATGCTCAAACAATTTGGAAGTTTACAAACCAATTCCCGAATTCTATTAAAATCGATATCATTTCGTGCTTGAGAGATAAACTTGAAATCTCGAGATCACAAGACTATTTGCCAAGAGAAATTATACAGATAAGACGTAATTTGCGTAGCGTCCTTCATCCTTTTGAGCTACGCCACTGTTACTATTCTCCGTGAAAGGGTCGAGATTAACTTCTTCTTACCTTGCTTGATGGAGATGCACGTGCGAGAGAAAGTCCAGAGAGATAGAAATAAATGAGAAAGAGAGAGAGAGAGACACAGAATAAGAGAAGAGTGAGAGACAGACACAGAAGAAAGAAGAAGAGAGAATCCTTCCATGTTTCTGCGTACATACATACAAGGCAAGTGTATACACGGTCGTTTGTGTATACGCAAAACCGTAGCGCGCGGATCTGCTCGTCTAGAAACTCGCTGTGTCTTCAGTTACCTGATATACTCCAGCTACGAGCAAGAAAGGTTTCACAAGGCTTTGCACATGTTAAATACATTTGTGCAGTATCACGCGGTTAACAATGTTCCTCTGTCACGGAATCATTTGTTAGTTAGCCGACTTAACAAAAAGAGAAAGAAGGAGAAAGAAAGAGAATAATATCTGTAAAGATCGCCATTTCTTTATAAATGAAAAGTTAAGTTTATCTCCGTTTCCTTTCCTTTTTATCTCGCGGAAACGATACAACAATTAAAATTTATTTATCACTGCGAGAAATTTAACAACACTAACCTCGTTAAATAACATCTCTTAAACGTAAAATTGCGGTAAGTGGTAGAAAATAAATAAGAACAATATATGAGCCTGAGAAACGACGTCGTTGCTTTTCTTTTCGTTTTTTAATTTTTTTTTAGCGCAAATGGAAGAACGTAATTATATCGAAATGCACGCGAGCAGTTTTCTATTTTAATAGAAAGAAATGCGCATTTTGTAACAGCGAATGTTTCATTGCGCGTTTTATTCGCGAGAGAAGGAAAACTTTCAAGAGACGAAATAAATCCGCGTCGTTTTCGCTGCGCTCTTTCTTCTTCGTCGCCACCTGTCGCGTTAAAAGCGGAAAGAGAGCTTCGATGTAAGAAAACGCGTGTGCATCAGCGAAGTTCTCCTTCTCTTTTCCGTCCCGATAGTGGTAATATCTCCGACCGGATTGGATCGCGAGATATAGGTAGACGTAGCCAGCGCGCATCGAAAGCTTTTTAGGTGTCACAAGCAGCCACAAAACGTCGGGGCACGTAGACGTGGCGGTTGCAGCTTAGTGCCACCCGTAGTGGACTCGATAAAATTCAGTGTCGCACGGTGTCGTCAAAACGAAGTTGCTTTCTCAGGTCGAAATAAAATTTTTAGAGCGCTGTAAGACGCGACAAGAACTTTATCCATTTCATTTAAACATGTTAGCTGCCTTTATTCACTCATCAAATAACGTACGTAAAAAATAGTTAAATAGTGTTTTTTTAATAAAATAAAACATCAATTTTTGAATGTAAATCTTATCAAAATAAGTTTTTTTTTAAATATAAATTATTATACTCAAACAAAAGTAACCAATTTTTTTAACTATTGTTATTTAACATATGTTTACATCGATTGCAAGTATTCGTAATTAAATTTGCGTCTAAAACCTCTCTACCAGTAAAACTCATAATAAATTGTATTGGGCGTAAATCGCAACCGCGACGTTTTCCCTCCATGTAGCTTCTTCGTCGAATAAACTGTTGGTGAAAAGCTTTTAATTGAAAAGTAGCGAATATTTTGTCTCTCGTGCTTTGCAAGCAATTTTTGATACATCCGAAAGTACCGAGTTTTTCTACAACCGCATCAAAAGAGACGAACTTTTTCAGCTCGAGTTTCTCGGATGCGTTCGCGATCTTGCGATCATTATTCCATTCTCGCGTGTATCTCGCATGTGCATCACTTTTATTGTATTTATCAGAGTTTTCGGACTTATTCGTATCGCGCAGCAAACTATTACGATATAATTGCACTTTTGATGAATTTTCCTCGCTCGTTGCGCAATCAAATTCTACATAATAATGCAGTATCAAAACTATTTAGCTGGCTGATTAATTTCTCGTGATTATCAGTGAAATTGCGCGCCAGCAAGACAAAGATCTGCATTTTCGCCAATAAACTAGCGTACTGTTAAAATTCATCAAATTTATACAAAAGTATATTAGAAATCAAATCAAATTAAATTAAAATTAAATGCAGTGATTGTTTCTTCTTCTTCTTTATCTATTGAATATATTTTTCTAACAAAAGTAAAACGCACGCGCGAGTTTTTAATTTTATTATACTACAACAGACATCAGATCAGCGAGTTTTATATTGCTTATAATATCGTTAATGGTTTGAATAAAAAGAAAAAAAACAAGTTTCAACAAATATGAACATGAATTACAAAACAGAAAAATGAGGAATATGTGTCAGATTTGTCGGATGCGTCGCGCTTGCCAAGTGGAACACCGAGACACCAAAAAGAGACCCATTCAGAAAGCAGTTGTAAAAGCCAAATAGAAAAAAGTTTTGACCAGTCGAAAAATAACTGTAACTTGAGCTTTTCTCCTGTAAGCGAA